CAAGCTCCTTTGTGAGTGTAGACGTGGATTTCTAATTGCTCACTGGAAGTCTCTAGCTGTATAAACCGTAAGTGCTCCTAGTTCACCGTGGCCAAAGCTGACCTCATCTTTTTTTTGTGGTACTAGGATTGAACTCAGGCCCTTGTACTTGCCAGGCAAGCACTTATTCTACTGAGCCATCTCCCTGGCCCCTCAACACCACCTTATGTTTCTTCCAACATCTACTTTACATTTTCTCTCGTTAATGATTTCCAGAGGTCATCAAAAAGCCTCAGACTTTGGAATCATCGACTTCCCTTGTTATTTGTATGCCTGCCTAAAGAGACACCTATTCTTGTGAAAGGTCTTGGCATCTTTCTTCATTGCTACTGCAAATATGTCTCAGACCTCTTATCTGTCTGGTGTTCATGTATTTATTCAGACTGTATCTCCTGCGTCACTCATCAAAGACTGAGTCAGGTATGCCATCTCTCCTTTTAAACAAACTGCAGTGTTCGTTGTCCACATCTTGAGCTGCATCGTGGGTAGTGTGCTGATCTCCTTTAGTGCCTATAGTAGCTCTTGGAAGCAGTTGGGAAACAGGCAGAGGTGAGGCCCATAATCAAACCCAGGTAACACAGAGCAAGGCTACCTATAAATAAAGAAATCCTCTTGTGCAAAGTAGCATGAGGAGAAGAGGGTACTCAATAGCCCGTGGAAGATGGTTTAGGGCAAGCTATTTTTTTTTTTTTTTTTTTTTTGGTGGCTGGCTCAGCCCATCCTGGTGGGGAGGTGGGCCTGGTGTGGCACATGGTGCTAGTGATTGAACTGCAGTCCCTGTGCCTTGCCTAAGCTTGCTTAAGCAGGGGCTTTTCACCGCTGAGCTATCTTGCTGGCCCAGAGCAAGCTATTTTTGAAGTGAAGAAATCTGAGTGTAAAATCTAACAGCCTGTGTTTCTTTTTTTTTCTTCCCCCGCTTATATTTTCTGTTACCCCTAATTTGAGAGCTTTGTTTTTTAGTAACTTGGTGTCACTGAGTTTGTCAAAGCATAAAAAGTTTCTTGGAGACATGGACTTTTTAAAAGTATGTATTCTAGCTAAAAGCTTTAGTTTGAGATAACTATAGGTTCATACATAGTTGTAGGAAAAACCAACAGATTAATGTTTTTTTTAATTAATGTATTTATTTGATACAGAGTCTTGCTAGCCCTTTGGACTGGTAATGATCCTTTTGCCTCAGGCACCCCAGTGCTGGGATCACAGGCCTGTGCCACCATGCCTGGTTTTGGGGCCTGCATGGCATACAGTACCAGGGATTGAACTTGGGTCCTTGCGCTTGCTAGGCAGATGCTTAAACTGCTTAAACCATCTCCTCAGCCCAATCCCATGACTTTTATGCCGGTCCTTTCAGTGGTAATATCTTGAAAAATATTTTGCAATATCTTGGCCAAGACAGTTACATCAACAGAGTTAAGGAACAGAATGTCCACACCCTGCCCAGGCCCTCAAGCTGCCCCTCCTGCTCGTGTTCACTTCCCTGTGCGCCCACGTTGGCCCTCCAAGGCCAGCACTCTGTTCTATAATTATTCTTAATTTTAAGGAAGTGGCTTGACTTTCAACATAAATCTCTGCAGCTTCATCCAGGTTGTTGCATATGCCACTCCTTTTGGGCTCAGGAGTGTTCCATGGTATAAATGGATCGCAATTTATGTAAGCATTCACTCACCGAAGGATATCTGTGTTGCTTCCAGTTTAGGGCTGTGATGAATAAAGCATCTGTAAATACCATGGTCAATTTTATTTTTTATTTACTTATTTTTTTAAAGTTTTGTTTTTTTTTTTTTTTTTTTTTTTTTACTTAGTGTGTGTGTGGCCAGCTCAGCCCACCAGGGGGCGGGGCTGGCTGGCATGTGGTGCTGGGGGATTGAACCGCGGTCCCTCTGTTTTGCTTAGCTTAGCTTGTTCTAAGTAGGTGCTTTAGACCACTGAGCCATCTCACCAGCCCAATTTTATTTATTTATTTTTAATTTATTGGTGGTGGTGATGTTACTGGGGATTTAGCTTGGCAGCTACATTCCCAGGCCTTTTGATATTTTTAAATTTTGAGACAGGGTCTCACTAAGCAGTCCAGCCCGATCTTGAACGTGCGGTCCTCCTGCCTCAGCCTTCCATGTAGTTTGTGATTACTGGTATGTGCTGTCACAGCTAACCCGGGTGCAAGTTTCCTGTGAGCACAGGCCTTGATTCCTCTGGGCTAGATGCTCGGGAGCAGTTTCTGGGACAAAATGTTTTCCAAAGTGCTGTGTGATGGCCTGCTGTACTAGTGTGTGGGGGATCTGGCTTCGCTGCATCCTCAGCAGCCCTTCGTCGCTGCTGCTTCATCTCATGTGAGTAATTGTATAACATCTGTCCTCACCCCAAAACATCTTTGTTAGTGCTAACATTTCTTTCTAGCTTTTTTTTTTGTGGCACTGGGGTTCAAACTCTGGAACCCTGGATCTTGTGTTTGCCAGGCAGGCGCTATGTTACTCAGCTAAATCGCCAACCTTAACATTTCATTTTTAGATATGTGCCTTAAAAATTGTGGGAGAGAGTGCTCACTGGTAGATACGTAGTGGATATTTGAGTGCATCTACTTTAAAAAAAGTCCCTGGTTAGAATTTTTATGTAGTATCTATTAAGTTGATAGGTCAAGTTAGGTAAATGTTTTACTTTTTTGGTACTGGGAATCGAACTCAGGATCTTGTGCTTGCCAGGTAGGTGCTGTGCTGCTGAGCTATTTCCTTAGCAACATTAGGTAAATGGATGAAATGCCTAAACAAATGGGTGGAGGACAACCAAACAGGCTAAGGACAGAGTCCTGAGAAGCACGTGTAATTAGGCTTGGGTGACTGAGTATTCAAAAAGTTGGGAATGTACTCCATAAAAGAAAGCAAAAATAGCTGGGCATAGTGGTGCACACCTGTAATCCCAGCACTCAGGAGGCTGAGGTGGGGGATCACCATGAGTCAGAGACCAGCCTGGACTACCTAGACTATCCTGTCTTAAACAACTTAAAAACCCCAAATATATATATATATATATATATATATATATATATATATATTACAGCATCAGATACCTGAGAGATGGTTTAATAGGAAGACTAATACCATATGTCTTACATTGTCTATAAAAGGTTTACTGTTCATATTTGCTCACCAGTTTCAGTGGAAATGAGAGAGGAAACCTAAAGATACCTCTTGAAGCAGGAATGGGAATGAAGGAAGTGGAGATAACTACTGAAGAACATTCTTTAGACTGAAGTGTGTAAAAGAACAAGCAATACCTAGAGAAAGTTACTGAAGAAAGTTTATTTTACACAGGGTAAATGTTTTTCAACTGGTTCAATTAGTGTCGAGAGGCTAAAAATATTGGGGAAAGTCTTATAAATTGTCAACAAAGAACATATAACAACACTTCAAATCATTTTAATGAAAAGACACACAGAAGAGCGACTTATGGAGCAAGGTTCTGGTGGAGACAGGTGAGAATTTAGTTTCTAGTGGAGGGGAGGAGGTGAATGGAGTAGGCAGAGATTGATCTGTGTGTTGGTGCACTTGGCACCATGCATTTTCTCATCTTTGCAAGGTTCTGTGAGGTGGGTAAGGGGCTGGGAAGAGTCCAGGGTTGGCGCAAGCACTGAAGGAAAGAAGTTGGTGCTGGTTAAATCCCGGAATAGGCCTGCTGAGTGGGAGCAAGGGATGCCTGTGGGTAGGGGTGTCAGTTCCATACACTGTGTCAGGTAAAGGCTTAAGAAGTTTCTTCTGTTTAAAAGAAAAGGAGGTGTAGTGGTGGGGGAGGTTGAGGAGCATTCAAGGAGTGGCTGAGGTGGAGAACAGAGAGAATGGAGCGAGTGACGCTGGCGTTGAGATTTCGGAGGTACAGGAGATGATCACAAGCTCTGAGAGCCTGTCAATGAAGGAGGTGAAAGGCACTGTTTCTTAAGATCCTGCAGTTTGAAGGATCCTGCATTTTATCCTGAAATTTGTGGAAAATCAAATGGGTGTGTGGATCGTGGGCTAAAGGGGGTGATGCTGGCAGCAGAGACCCAGCTCATGCTACGAAGTTTTGCACACTGGAGGGTCTTGTTTCAGGAGGGGAAGTTTTCTGTCATGATTTCTGCCCCTTTCACTAGACCCACTTAATTGAACTGACCTTATTTGTATTTTGACACAGGGTCTCCTTAAATTGCCCCAGCTGGCCTCAAACTTGCGAGCCTTCTCTTCAGACTTTAGAACAGCATTAATTAATGAACTGCAAGCACGTGCCTCCATGCCTGGCACCAAAGCTCTGGGCTCCTGGAAAGATCCCATTTCCTCCGCTGTATTTTGTCCACAGTCATTGTTGCTATACACAATTAGAACTTTCCTTTCTCCCCTCCACTGGAAACTTTCTTTTACACGGAGGAAAGCTGACTCGTTTTTATTATATTGAAGTTGTGGGGTCAGACATGGCGACAGTGGGTGGACATAGTGCAACCCGTTTCCTTGATTTTCACTACTCTTCTAAGAGGGTCTGGAAATTTTTCTGAAACTGACATACAAATTCTATTACATCAATGTTCCTACACTCTGAAAATACATCTTTCATGTTATTCGTTCTGTCTGATTGGAGTTCCTTCATGTGCACCTGAATGGAACTCATCTTGTTCTTAAAAGTCCTAGTATTCTGCTTAGAAATACATGCTTAAGGACGCTCAGTGAGCGAATGAATGAACGACGGCTCCTACACATGAGCGAATTGTGTCCTCTAGATCGCACGACCTCATGGTTTTAACACATCTCTCCTGGAACAGGCTCGGTCGAGACGCCCAGACAGCTCTCGTCTGACTACAAGTGTCTCCCATCTACCTGCGCTTAATTTGGGAGCAGCTGTCAGGACGCGGGCGGCAGGCCCCCGGGAAGGGGAGGGAGACTTTTCCGTACAACAGCATGGCACCCGCCTGCCGGCGCTGGGGAGGGCAAAAGCGGAGCGCGCTCTCCGTACGGCATCATGGCGGCCGCCTGCAGGCGCGGGTCACGGCCTCACGCCCGGGACAGGGCTGCCGTAAAGCTGGCGCCGCTTCCTCTTCTTCTCCCGCCTCCCACCGGCTGTCGTAAAAGGGTGAATGGAGAGCGAGTTGTGGGGGGAAGAGGGAAGACAGGGGGCGCAGAGTCGGAGTGGCACAGCTAGTGGCTGCAGGTGGCGACGGTGGCGGGCGTGGGGAGCACGGCAGCTCGGGGGGCGCGGCGGCCGCGGCTGAGGGGGTCCCGCGAGGGCTGAAGCGGCCGTCCGGCCTACTCGCCCGGGGGCCCGGAGCCCCCCGCGGGGGACATGGACCTCAACCGGATCATCCAGGCGCTCAAGGGCACCATCGACCCGAAGCTGCGCATCGCCGCCGAGAACGAGCTCAACCAGGTGGGCGGCGGCGGGCCGGCGGGGCGGCTGCGCACCTGTTGGGCGCCCCG